CTTACTAATATCAATATTTTAGGAGGAATATTTAGAAATATTTAAAATGCTTCTGAATTCTCATCAGGATCCTACTTGTCTGTGTCTCAGATGAAACAACCACATTCCACCATGCCACCGTCAGAGTCCTTAGTGGAGACAGACTCTCTGTCCAGTTGGGAGCCAGTTCTGTCTGATGGATCAGTGGGGTCGGCACCATCTCTGGGCATGAGTCCTGGACCAAGCGGCAATGTGGACATTGGAAAAAATGACCATGATGAGACACAAGACAATGTGATGAAGCAGCAGCACAGAGCAGGAGAGGTAGAGAATACTTTGACATGTGCAATATGTTAGTCAATTTACCTGATCAACAGTGGGTTTTAGAATATTGCATTTTTTTTTTTGTTGAAAAGGGATTCTTTGAAAAGAATCCCATTTCCACAAAGTTTGGAAGTTTTCTGTGTGGGTGGAACAGCTTGTTCAAATAGAACATACAAATAAATTAAAATATAACGTAAAGAGAATACCGTTAGAAAACAATGAACAAGAATCAGAGAATTCTTGTTCATCTGCACTGTTAATAGTGCAGAGGTGTCCAAAGTATGTTCTTCACGCCATTTGCAGTGCAGCCCCTGTCCACTTCAAGAATAGCAGATTTATTTCAACAAAACAGTGAAATTCTCCCTGATCATAAATTTTGCTAATATATTAATATACTGCTAAAATGTAAACAATAGTTAACAAGTAATCTTCATCTTTAATAACCAATTTTTTGCTTTCATTTTAATTTAATAATATATAGCACCTCAAACAATTTTTTGCATTTTATTTTTTAAAAATAAAGTTTTTGTTTTTATTCTTTCCTCATGAAAATCAGCATATTGCATTTCATTAGAATAGTGTATTTAGTTTGATTTTACAAGAGAACTGTTTTGCTAAAGAAGAAAAACATCTCCCCGAAACTTTTGTTATCAGCTTTTGTCATAACACACAAATGTTTGTGGCTCAGAATTACTTTTATCTGGACAGTTGTGTAACTGCTTTGGATACCCTTATGTTTTTATATATGAAGAAATTTTCCTGCCATAATTCAAAGCACACATTTTCAGTATGAAAACAGGATTTTATGTCTTTTGTTCTCAAAATTTTTAGTACTTTTGCTCATACTGTTACTTTGAAAGCAGGACTTCATATTTTCTCAAAAAGTGTAATGATTGTACTCAAAACATCTCGCACTCACACTTAGTCTGCTCGGAGCAAATCTTCACTTGAAAAACTATCTGCTCGCTTGGTGGAATTTTTCTGCCACAATCCAAGACCACACATTTTCAGTCTGAAAACAGGATTTCATTTATTTTGTTCTTAAAACTTATTTTGCTTACAATTTAATTTTGAAAGCAGGACTTCATGTCTTTCTTCTCAAAACTTGTAATGGTTGTACTCAGAAGTTCTCCTTGCGCTCAGGCTTGGTCTCTAGGAGATTTGCTTTAAATAGAGCCTAAGTCTGAGCGAGAGGAAAAGGTTTGAGTACAATCCTTACAAGTTTTAAGAAGAAAGACTTTAAGTCCTGCTTTCAAAATGAAATTATAAGCAAAATTATTAAACATTTTGATAATAAAAGACATAAAATCCTGCTGTCAGACTTAAAATGTGTGCTCTTGGAGTATGGCAGAAAAAAATCTCCATTCTTATACATTAGTTGAAAATAAGTCTTAAAAACTTGTATTATGTCTTACATAGATTTAAAATGCATTGTTTTGCCAATTAAGTTCCACACTGTGGAATAATATGTAGTCAGAACAATCACAAGGACCATTAAAGTCACCAACCAATGCATGCAGCTCAATTAGTTTATTGCTGGATGAACTAATCATATCACTGATATGAGAGATATTTTGGTTGCATGTCCCAAGGTTTGATTTGTTGTAAAACCACAAAGACAGATGAGTAAGGGCTAGAGAGCAGGTGTTAGAAAGATGAAATCTAAGGTAATCTCCTCTGTTTAGTGTTGGTTTCAGTCCCACTCAAAGCGCCTGTCCACCATGTCCAAGATGTGGACATTGTTTTCTTCAAACAAATGGCCCCTGTCGTTGAGTAAATGGAAAGTTGAGTTTTTTTGATGTTTTTTTGAAATGTCTTCAAGGACTGATATTGCTATATATAATAAAAAACAAGAAGTCCCCTTCTCTTCTGAAAGTTGAGTTTTTTTGGAAATGTCTTCAAGGACTGATATTGCTATATATAATAAAAAAAACAAGAAGTCCCATTCTCTTCTGTTAAAGCACTTTGATTTGAACCCACACATCCTTTTCCTTCCGATAAGGAAGATGTCTGACTTTGTGTAGGGAAAATATGAAATAGTAGAAGGGATGTGAATAATTTTGCAAATTTTATTTTATTTGTTCTGTCTCCGTGAGCAAAATCCATTGACTATCTAAAACATTTAAGCTTATCAGAAAAACAAACAGTGGGTCTTAATTGGCAATAGCACCATAATCTGAGTATTTAAAAAATATATATTTTACAATAAACAAAACTACGCTGTCGTTCAAAGCAATTTTGATGAACCATACCTTGCAGTTTGTGTCAAACCTCAGGTCTGATGAAGAGATCCTAAAAGTTGTTTTCTCTGATGTCATCTCAGATGATGGTGTGTAGCTGGAAAAAAGAAACGGACCATGGACTGAATCCTGAATCCTGGGCTGATCTGCAGAAACTCACCAATTCAGTAAGTTGCTTTTCATCCTCTGTAAAATGAAGAAGCCTCTGAGCCTGATATATAATTCATACATCATCTATTCAAACTAATGCCTCTGGTAGAGAAAGGACATTCTCTAACTGATTCATGCCTTAGGTGCCTATTGCTGCTTTTCCACTCTCTGTGTTGTAATGTGATGTTCAGGTACTTACAGATGAATATATTAAAACAATTTTATTTCCTGCTATGTCTTTGACAGATAAAGGGAAAATGCAACATTTGATTAAGATTTCAGCCCTGTTTCTCTGATTTAAGGTTTTGATTAAAGGGGGTTACAGTTGAGTGACAGCCAGCTTTCTGACTGACAAAAGAGAGAGGAGAGAGATACGTGTTACCACGGCAGCTGTTGCCACAGTTACTGCATTTTTTGGCACAGGACCCTTGCTACCACCTGCTGTCTGTTGGGTGAAATTGGTTATAGATTAGCATGTAGGCTCTTACTATGAAACTATTTAAAAGGTAAAATAAGTGAAACAAAATGTTACATCCTGTAGATCTCATTATTAGTTCATACTTGTATGAATGCATATATATTTATATCAAATTTTTCATCTTAGATATTCAGCTAATACACTACATAGTGTATCATAATCGTATTATAATATGCTCTCCTTCGTGGAGCTCCTATACAATAAAAACAACTGCCGGTATGATGTGCTTTGGATCTGGTTAACAAGTTACATTTCATGAAGAAAATGCACAATTTGGAAATATAAGGCTTGTTGCTTCGTTAGGGTGAGCTAAACATCACCGCCCCCTTGTGGCTCAAATCAGACTCGCTCCTTATCCCAAACGTGATATCCAAACAGTATTAGCACATTTAGTGTACTTTATTGGGATTCTATGTAAAGTATAGAATACAATACAACTCAAGCATATCAATGGAGAAATTTGAATTCAATTGCATGATACATTTTCTGGCGTGGTTAGAGAATTGGTTTATTTTTTTTATTTATTATTTTACAGGTACTTTGGAGATTAAGAGGATTTGCTTCAAATGAACACAAATGAGAAAAAAGGCTTTTCAAAAGCTTCAGTCCCTGGTCCGAATAGATACCAAAATAAAATAATGCATATATAAAAACAATAAAAAATATTAATGATTCATCAATATAGGAAAAAAAGAAAAAAGACAACTATTCAAACATGTAACTCGATGACAGGACGACAGGATACCAGAAAAAGAAACATGAAAGCTGCAGTATGTCTGTCACTTTTTTTTTCTCTTTACAGATTTGGTAAAATTGTCACTATGCTAACTGAGAGAGTTAATAAGTGGTTTAATTACCTGCTGATGCTGGTTTTAAAATGTTTTTACCTCAATAGGGACTGAACGTATTAAAATCAAAGTTTTATAATAAAAAATTACATTCACTTTATTCTATTTAAGTCAACATTACAATTCACTATACACTGATATTTGAGTGTTAGGAAAAATTTTGACCAAAGTCAAGTGATATTCACTCATCTTTTTCAAGTAAATACAATGTTATGAGTAGTAATGTAGATGTTGGTGGTTGTAATTGTGACTGAAATGTTGAAGGGTAAAGCCTACCTACAGAAGATTTCATATAGTTACAAAATCTAAAGTGTTAGTTATAGTGTAGTATAATTGTAGGGAGGGAATGTGTAAACACCAACATTAGAAATGGGGCAATACTGTAATAAAAATGCTAAAAATGGTCACAGGTGAGACTCTAATGTTTTTCAGGCTGATGATAAAGACTTGGACTTCAAACCTGGATTCATGGCATTTTTTCTGGACTTCCTAAAGACAGGCAAGAAAGAGTCTGACCTGGTGCTGGAACAAGATGAAGTTGAGCGGGAAGTCCTGGATGCCTGTTCCTCTCTGAAGGGAGGAATCAGGCCTCTGTCCTCATCTCCTCCTTCCCTACCTCCACCTTCTCCACAGACACTTCCTGAAGACTTCAGCCGGGACAGGCAGAGTGAGGAGGGGACTGAGCTGGTGCTCCCTGGCTGCCCAAGATCCTGCAAGCCTCTGGATGAGGAGCTGAAGCGGAACCTGGAGACGCTGCCGTCTTTCTCCTCAGACGAGGAGGACTCCATGAGCAAAAACCAAGATCTGCAGAAGAGCATCTCGTCTGCTATTTCAGCCCTCTATGACACTCCACACTCACTGGCTGCAGTGATGGCCTCCGCCATAATCAAGATCCAGCCTACCCTCTCCCCACTGACGCATCAAGGGGCATCTGTGAGCCCTCCGCTACCTACTGGGCTTCCTGATGTCGCCACTGTAGAGAACATAAAAGAGGAGCCGCTGGCATACGGTCAGCAGGAGATACCAAGGAATGAGGATCAGAGGGTTAGCTCCACATCGGTAAGCAGACTGAAAACAGAGGAGAGAGATGCACAGAAATGGGTAGAAGAAGAGAAAGAAGAGGAGGAGAGAGGGGACGAGTCTGGGAATGATGAAGAAGTAAAAAAAGAATCTGAGAATCTGGAGAGTCAAGAAACGGAGGTGGAGGAAAAACTGACTGATGATCTGGAGGCTTGTAACACAGAAGGTAATAAAATCAGCAGGACATGAATGATTATTTTGTATTATGTGAAATTGACTTTTATGAGCTTTCCATCATGTTTCCAATATGTTTCATCATTATTCTCTCATCAAAAACATACCTGGGCTTATTCCTTATTCTTTCATGCATGTTTGAGAAATCCTTTAATCTCCTGTGGCAACCATTCAGTTGTGCAAAACGCTGGGGTGGATCGAGCACCGCCTTTGACACGCAGCTCCTGCTCGGGCATGTAGTTTCCAAACTTCTGGTGGAACTGTGAAGCTGCACTGGAAAAAAACACAAAATCTTATCAAGTAATTTGGTCTGATTTCTTCTGCAAATATCTTGGTATACTCTATAAAACACAATGCCAAATTACAAGTAACTTTTCAGGAAGAGAAGTAATAGTTAAGCTCCCATCTTAATTCCTTAATATCAATAATTCCTCAATATTGATGGCAATGTACTAGTTCCATTGGAAGATTATTTCACTTAACACATGAAATCTTTCCCATGTTATAAATGAAGTAATCTGCCAGGTAAAATAATGTTGTTTTTGTTTTTTTGTTTTTCTGTCAGTGTTAAAGAATTATTGACTTAAAACAAGTTCATTGCTAAAAATTTATTTGAAAGTTAGTTTTGTGTCATTTCAAGTGTACTAAGATATTTTCACGAGAAACTATGCAAAAATACTTGGTAAGATTTTGTGTTTTTGCAGTTTGTTGAGCACAATGTACGAGATCTGTCTCAGTGAAACACTGGTATAAAAAATTGTTCAAAGGATTGATAGAGGAGCCAGGTTGTGAAGACTTACTTTCAGAAAGAGCAGGAGTTTTCAAAGAGACAGAGGTCCAATTTAAAGTTATTTAATCAGAAAGTAAAATTTCTTTCAAGGCATATTTGATATATATGTATCAATCAATCAATCAAATTTTATTTGTATGGAACATTTCAGCAGCAAGGCATTTCAAAGTGTTTTACATCATAAACACAGACATGCAACATAGAATAAACAATGCATTGTTCCATCATAAAATTTTTAATTGATTACGTTTCAAATACAATTCTAAACAAGTGCGTTTTTAATCGAGATTTAAAGGAAGTCAAGGTTTCCACTGTTTTACAATTTTCTGGAAGTTTGTTCCAAATTTTTGGTGCATAGATGCTGAATGCTGCTTCTTCTCTTTTGGTTCTGGTTGTGGGGATGCAATGCAGACCAGAACCAGAAGACCTGAGAGGTCTGGAAGGTTGATACAACAACAGCAGATCTTTAATGTATTGCGGTGCTAAACCGTTGAGTGATTTTTAAACTAACAAAAGTATTTTAAAGTCTATTCTTTGAGCTACAGGGAGCCAGTGTAGGGACTTTAAGACTGGTGTTATGTGTTCTATCTTTCTGGTTTTAGTGAGAACGCAAGCAGCAGCGTTCTGGATCAACTGCAGCTGTTTGATTGATTTGTTGGACAGGCCTGTGAAGACGCCGCTGTTGCAATAATCAATGCGACTAAAGATAAATGCATGGATGAGTTTCTCTAGACTGGCTGAGACATTAGTCCTCTAATTCTGGAGATGTTCTTCAGGTGATCGAAGGCCGACTTTGTAACTGTCTTTATGTGGCTCGCAAGGTTCAAGTCCGAGTCCATCACCACTCCCAGGTTTCGGGCCTTATTACTAGGTTTTAGTTGTAATAACTGAAGCTGTGCATTGACTCTTTATCGTTCCTCTTTAGGTCCAAAAATAATGACTTCAGTTTTGTTTCTGTTCAGCTGGAGAAAGTTTTGGCACATCCACACATTTATCTGTTCTAAGCATTTATTCAGTGACTGGATGGGTTCAGAGTCACCTGGCGACATCGTACTATAGAGCTGGACATCATCTAAATAGTTAAAGTAGCTAATATTATTTCCTGTTATAACCTGAGCTAAGACGGGTCCTAGGATTGAACCTTGGGGTGCCCCCCCTGTGACCTTTGACCTTTTTGATGAGAAGTTTCCAATTGAAACAAAGAAATTCTTGTTCTTTATGTAAGATTCAAACCAGACAAGTACCGAACCGGAGAGTCCAACCCAACTCTCCAGTCGATTCAGTAATATGTTATGGTCAACAGTGTCATAAGCTGCACCGAGGTCTAACAGAACCAGCGCTGTGGTTCTGCCACAGTCCGTATTTATATGGATGTCACTGAATTCTTTTACGAGGGCAGTCTCTGTGCTGTGGTGAGCACAAAAACCAGATTGGAAGGTGTCAAAGCAGTTGGTCATCATGAGGAAACTATTTAATTGTTTACACACAGTTTTTTTCAGTAACTTTGCTGATGAATGGGAGGTTTGAGATCAGCCTGTAATTCTGCATTAGTGATTTGTTCAGATTGTTCTTTTTTAGGAGTGATTTGATAACTGCTGTTTTTAAAGCTTGCGGGAAAACACCTGATGTGAGTGAAAAGTTTACTATTTGGATCAGTAGCAATATCAGGCAGGATTTTCTTAAAGAAATGTGTCATCCAGATATCAGGAGCTTGAACTTAATTGACTTCTTATTTCTTCTAGGATTTTATGATTAAGTAGTGGAAAATGGATCATTTTTTCTGTATTTGTTTTGTTTGGGTACAGCAATGGTTCTGGCTTTAGAGGTGATGTGCAGATTAATTCTCAGATTTTTTTTACATTTTCTCTGAAAAGAAGTTGGAAAGCTTGTTACAGGCAGCATAGATTGGAATTCAGTTTGTAGCGTCATAGGAGGGTTTGTGAGCCTGTCAACTGTTGCAAATAAAGCTCGAGTATTGTTCAATGTTTTTGTTTATGACATCTGCAAAGAAAGCCTCCCTTGCATGTTTTAGTGTTAAGTGATAGTTACATAGTCTTTCTTTATAGATTTTCGTTCTGCCCTGCGGCAGAGTTGTCTTGCAGATTGAATTGTTTGTGCAATTCTCCATGGAGATTTCTTCCTAACAGACAATTTTTACTTTAATTGGGGCAATAGAATTAATGGTATATGAAACTTTAGCCTGAAAATCATCTACCAATTTATCTACATCATTACAGCTTAAGGGTGAGAAAGAAGAGTAAATTTGATTAAATGTTTCTGCTGTGTTTTCTGTGAAAGAATTTTTTGTGATAGTAGCTGTTTGTCCAAGTGGGTTAAAGAATAAAGAACTTTAAAAGATAACAGCAAAGTGATCCAACAGTGCAACATCAGTTACAGAGATACTGGAATTATTCACACCCTTACTGATAACCAGGTCCAGTGTGTGTCCTTGAGTGTTTTTTGCTTGTTTGACATGATGTGTTAGACCAAAATTTTCTGAAATATTAGAGAGCTTTTTTAGCTTAGTATTGTTTTTAAGCAGATAACATAGTTACTTTGTTGTGCTATAAAATGTCACTATGTGGCTGGTAAATACATAATATTGCCTGGTCCTTTGATCTTCAGTGGAAAATGTTCTAACTTGTGTTTCAGATCCTCCACCAGAACCTTTACTCTCCCCAGTACCTTCATCTCAATCCCCTTCTGCCTGGCGTTCTCCACTCATCTACTCCTCAGCCTCACCTCTCCACACTTTGAGTTTGTCCGCCCTGTCATCGCTGCCCATCCAGCAGGGCGAGGACAAGGCATGTCCAGTGCTCCTGTTCTCTGAGTCTCAGCCTCAGCCGTCCTCCTATCATCAGGCTTCCACCTCCCCACCACCTTCCACCTCCCCCCCAGCCATCCAATCATCCCCCCTCTCCAGTCTTCCCCAGTCTATTCCCCCTCCTTCAACCACTCCCCCCCCTTCATCCTCTGATCAGGACCTGGACTATGAAGCCAGTGAACCTTCTTCAAAGTCTGCCTCCTCACCTTCCCTATCGTCCTCTGAGCCGCCGTCACCCCCGACTCCGGAGGAGACCCAGGCGTTGCAGCGCCTTACCTCTCTGCACCTGGCAAAGAAGCAGGCTGACGCTGCCATTGCCGGGGAAAGCGCAGAGGAGGACAGTGGGAGTGAAGGAGAGGGAATCTTTCGGGAGCGAGACGAATTTGTGGTTCGAATTGAAGACATTGGTACTCTTAAGGTAAATGCCCCACACTCACAGCTTCCAAGATCTACAGTTGAAACCATATAAATACACTGCATAAAACATGCAGCCTTTATTACTCTGCAAACACACAAAATGTTATGGCATTGCAAGAATGTCTTTTACTTTTTTTTTTATAAAAGTGAAGGAATTATTGACTTAAAACAAGCTCCTAAATCGTGCAGAAAAATTATCTGTGAGTTAGTTTAGTTTTATTTCAACTGTACTAAGATATTTGCACTAGAAACTAGACCAAAAATACGTGTCAAGATTTTGTATTTTTGCTGTGTGTGACAACTAAACCTTTCGTATTTCAAGTCAGTTAGGATGATCAATTATCAATTCTACACCTATATAATCTACATCACCACTACATTTAACTCACCCCAATCCATGTTCAAGCACAAAACTAACACTGAGAGGAGATCCAGTCCATGTATTGACACATAGGCTGTGTTTTCTGGACTTTTTTTTCAAAGTTTGACTGGCCCTGTGTTTTATTGTCAGGAGGGCATTATGTTTTGTTTTTTTTTTCTTCATGACACATAACTAATGAATTAAATATTAATTCATACTGATGGACATGAACCAAGCAGAAAACATCGCTGAAAGCTAAATGCTGAAAGTGAGATGGCCAGGGGTGGAGAAACATCTGCACAGTTGGGAACATAAAGAACATGCTGCCAATGTTCTCAGAATCTGTGTGACCTGGTCACACTTTCCTGCCGTAGCACATTTAGTTAGCTATCTGGTCTTACCTTTGAAAACTGCTGGAGCACCTGTTGAGACTTGTTAACTGTAATGTTATGTCTTCATGCCCTGTAAATTGCCAAGGAGAGGAATTGAAATGACTTTGCAGGTGGGCCCTCTTGGTATTACTGCTTCATGCAACATCTATGTCATCCCAAATTGACACTGCATGTTCCTCTCCTCCACTGCACACTTTGCTGAGGGAAGTTAAGTTACAAGTATGGCAGCGTCACAGTGTGTGGATGTTTTGCTGCAGGTGGGAATGGTAAACTATGACATACACTATATGGGATCATGATGAAATGAGGTGAAAATAATGAAGCATGATATCAAGACATCAGCCAGAAAGTAAAACCCTTGACAGTAATGGGTTTTTCAAAGGTACAATGACCCAAAGCATACCTCCTAATTAGTGTCTGAAGTGTCTTCCAAGTGTCCTAAAGAGAACAAAGTCAAAGTGTTAAGGAGGTCTTAACAAAGCCCTGGCTCAGTTTCATAGAAAACTTCTGGGCATAAGTGGAGCTGTGGTGAAAACAAGGCTTCCAAATAAGATCCAGTTATACTGGTTCTGTCAGTACAGAAACCAGTATGAGACTCTTGATGAAGGACACTCAGAACATTTGACCAAAGCAGTATATTTTAAAAGGCAATGCTTCAGAGTACTGAAGGGTTTGGATGGAAACCTTTGAACCTATCACAGCGCCATGCTGGAATTCATTGAACTCATGAGAGTGAGCCATTATTTCAAAAATGTTTGTCCAACAGTCTGAATTCCTAGGTGCTAAATTTTATACACCTTGAAGTGATTAGAACAACTGATTCTGATAATTTGGATAGATGAGTAAATACTTTTCCATTCATTGTATACATACAACATAGTGTATCTGGTATCAACTGAAAGTGGTGTGAATAAAAGATTGATTGTCAAATGACCTGAGTTGTTTCTTTATATTAATAGATGGCTTTGCAGACAGGCCGAGAGCCTCCACCCATATGGAGAGTCCAGAAAGCTTTGCTCCAGAAATTCAGCCCAGAGATTAAAGATGGCCAAAGACAGTTCTGTGCAACCAGCAATGTGAGTTTTCCAAAGTACATATTCTTAGTACAATTATTCATACCTCTTGAATTGTTTTTGTATTTTGTCACTCTATAGCTTCAGATTTCAATGTGTCTCATGAGATTTTATGCAACAGACCAACATGAAGTGGTGTTATGAATCATGTATCAAAAAGAAGATGGAAGAATGGATTTCATTAATTTTTTTAAATGAATTGTTCAAAAGTGTGGTTTTTGTTTTTGGCCTCTTGTATTTTTAGGACTATTGTACTACTGTGAGGTGAACCTCGATTCCTTTATTAAGATTTTTGTTTACTTTTACAAACAAAAAACTCAGCTGTGGGATTCCTCAAGAGTCCATTCTATACTAACTTTCATTAAAGGGTCAGTATTATGTAAAACGAAATGTTATGTTATTCCCTCATCAAAAACACACCCAGACTGTTGCCTTATTTCTTTATGCATATTTGAGAAATCCTTTGATCTCCTGTGGTATACCATTCAGCTGTACAAAGACTTGGGTGGCCCTAGCTCTGCCTTCGAGGCACAGCTCCTCCTCAGAGCTTTAATTTCCAAACTTCAAAACATCCACCTCAGATCAGCCCTCTGTCGCAACTCCCCAGTCAGCTCCTTCAGACTAGCCAGCAACAATTAGCAAACTCCTGGTGGAACTGCATTCATTGTACAACCTATTTCTCTGTGCTGGATCTTAGAGGTGTCATAGTAAATTAGGTTGATTGTTCATGGCATTTTCAGATTTTCATTTGTAAACATCACATGGATCCACTTGGTATGTCTGTCATGTAAAATTGCAGTAACTCATAACAGAAGTTAATGTTAGCTAGAAGAAGTGAATAACTGTTTTCTTCAGTATCTGGGCTACTTTGGGGATGCCAAAATGTGCTACCAGCGTCTCTACGTGAAGTTCCTGGAGAACATCAACAAGAAGGACTATGTCCGGGTGTGTTCTCGCAAGCCTTGGCACCGAGCTGGCCTGGCCCTGAGGTAAGGCTGCATGTTCACTTTCTGCTCTTACTGACTTCAGATTCATTATCCAGCTGCTTGACCTTGACGAGAGGAGCTCACTATGTTTGTCCTTTTCTTCCATCCAACTGTCTGCCAGACGGCAGTCTCTGACTAAACAGGTGCAGAGTATTCAGAGTCAGAACCAGTCCCGAGTGGAGAGAGATGACAGAGACAAGGAGAGACAGAAAGAAAAAGAGATGCAGGAGCAGAGAGCCAGAGAAAAGGAACGAGAGAGAGTACAGAGAGGGAAAATAGAAAGGGAACTCAAAGAGAGAGAGAGAAGAGAGAAGGAGAAACAGGAGAGGGAGCATAAAGAGAAAGAAAAAACTATGAGAGAACAAGAAGAAAGAGAGCAAAAACAGAGGGAGTTCAGAGGAACAGAAAAAGAGATGGAGAGGATGAATGAGCAGAAAGGGAGAGAGGAGAGAGAAAGAGAAGGAAATAACAGTGAAAGAGAGCAGAAGGAGAAGAGGAATAGGGAGAAGAGAGAGGAGAAACAGGATCAAGAGTTCAGAGAAAGACTGACACAAGAAAAAGAACTGAAGGAGAAAGAACAGAAAGACAAAGAAGAAAGGAGGGAAATCCTCAAACAGCCGAAGGAAATGAGCGAAAAGCAGAGTGAGCAGAAAGGAGAGGGAAGAAGAAATTATGAGAAAGAAAAGAGACAAGGAAGAGATAACATCTTGGACATTTTAAGAGTGAAAGAAGAGAAGAGGGGAGAAGGAAAGAAAAGCAAGATTTTTAAAGACAGAGGCCAGGCTCCACCAAAGAAGAGGAAGAAGTGGCTGAAGGAGGTACCGTCCTCATCCTCTGAGTCTGACTCCTCCCGGCCCAGTGACGATGAAGGTCAGCTCTGTATGAATATGGTTCTATATATCTGTCTCATTTTGTCCACTCTGTGACACAAATGTTTTTATGATTTCAGTTTTAATTTCAGATTGTGATGAAACAGCATAAGAAGCACATCGTGTGACAGAAACTGTGCCTGAAAATTAAATTATGAAATATTATGACCAACAACGTCACCTGGGGTTATAGGCTTAGAACTATTCAGATTCCCATTGTTTACAAAAAGCTTGTACCAGGTCAAGACAACAAAATTTATTTTTTTCTAACTGCACCAAATACACAACATGTATAATATATATATTAAGCTCTTCTACAGTAAATTGTATCCTGTTGTTGCCGCTACACCCCCCCCCCCTCCTCCCCCCCTCCTTCACTCTCTACTCTCTCAGTCACTACTTCCTCTTCTGAGAGGGGAGATGTGCTACCAGCTCTCCATCTAACGGGTAAATTAAGTTTCCTAAATCTGCTGGGATTTACCCTATCCAGAACTGAAGTAAACTCTGTTTAAGCTGGTTTCGAGACCGGATTCGCCTGACTACTAACGGCCTACATCCAGATGTCCCACCCTTCTTCCCCCTGTGAATTAGCCAGACTGAGCAGCATACAGCCAACTAGTTCCACAGAGCACATCTGTTAACGGTCGCTCCTTCTCTTTTTTGCAACTTGCACTTGTTACTGAATCAGGTTAGTTTTAGTGACTCGGGCGAGTCCCAAGGATGTTGTTTTAAATTTGGGCTAAAGCAACCTATAAAACATTACCTACTTTTCTTCCCCAGAATCAAACATCACAGCTATTTTACTACCATCAAAGAACTTTGAAGTGACTCATTAATTGAATGTCCACAACATCTTTTAGATTTTCTTTATGCTAAATATTTTATTAGTAAAGCAATTTTGCAAGGGTCAGTACAGCTTAATTAAGTAGCAGAAATAATCAAATAAGTAAAATCAATCATCTAGCCTGTCTTTCCCTAACGCTGATACTAAGAACTAAAAAGGGAACCTTTTAGAGAGACGGACGAAGTTTGGTGTCTCGAACCCCAGAACTGGATCGATGATGAAGAAGATGTTGCAGCAGGCGGAGGAGGTTGATTGACGAAAGCAGGGATCTCTGTTGGTCTGATGAGCTGTCATCTCTGCATGGATGGTGAGGTCACACAGGACTTGGGTCTTTGTCTTTGCCTTGATCTTCATCTTTGCCTTGGTCTTCATCTTTGTCCTTGGGGTCTGAACCCAGCCGATGAGAGAAGTCTGATTTGAAGCCACATGTTGCGGGGCTGATGGGTTGGTCCCCGTGCGCAGGACAGTCTTCGTCCCTGTGGCCCCGGCTCTTCTTCAGCTGCAGAGTTCTTTGTCCATCTCGGTCTTGACTCGAAGCTGCCTGGAGGATCCAACCAAAGATTCCTCTTTTGCTCTCCCCTTATATAGGGTTTATACCCGCTTTCGGTGCATTTTCATTGGCTAACACTGTTGCTGTGCTTTCTTTATTGGGTAACATGTTTGGACAGATAAACTCATATCCATCACTGTCTTAGAGACATTTTGTCCTGATGTCTTGGCTAATGTCTCAGGGTTGCTCAATCTTCCTCCCATGTCTCTGACACGTGTAAGTTGTTCAACAAGCTATCTCCTAATAAGGTCTTGGTCGTCTCTGCTTTTCCGTTAGTCCCCATTTTACCCCTAACCTCTCACCTACTATCTACCTCCAACACATCATCAGTGATCATTAATAGCAGATACATGTTTTACACCATTTCAAGTTCAATGTTAAAATCACATTCATAAACCTATTAGTTTCTTTAATTTAGCATTCATTTATAAGTTTATGATAATCACAACTTATTACTCTTTTATTATTTGATACCAAAGTTACAGTTACTTGTTTTACTTGTACGTTTTTCCACAAGTGTCAGTAAGTATTGTTATAAGTAAACCAATATTAATATAAGTACTTTACTTTAAATCTTATCTAATTACTCAAAATGTTTAGATTTTATCCTTTGAAACTTTTATGCTTTTAAACAAGGACTGGTCTCAGCTATTTTTATACAGCTGCAAGCTGGAAACTTACTTCCTCTTTTTCCAGGAAACCTGCTCTTCCCGTTTCATATCTCTCTCTCTGACTATGATTTCTTATGATTAGATATAAAAATGAAGTATAATGAAAGCTAAGTTTGCAGGAGACAAAACAACACACACAACCAGATTTATTTTATTGCAGTCTGGGTCTACTGTTGGATCTAGATGTGATTGGTGTGACTTATTTTAAAGATAACTTTATTTGTTGTTACTGTTAACTAAAATCTCCAGCATGGGGAAGTGAGATGATCTCGGATTTTTATTGACAATCCTCAAACCCAGTCTATAACTAACCAAACATTATTAATGCCAAAAAGAAAAAAAAAACGAACACTGCAAACTAAACAGCAAAAAAACAATGCAAATAAAATCAATCAAGCTAAAGCTAAATTAAACCTGCATGCACAGCTAACTCTATGGTCATTGCCCAAAGCCCGGCCCACCGGGCCAGTAAGAACTCCTAGCCCACAGCGTGTGTGCCCAGAGAGCAGGAAAGACACCACACCACCTGTCAGTCCTGCCCGAAGAAGGCATGATTTCTAAGAACTAGTCTTAAAGCCAGGCAAAATTAACCTGGAAACGCTGGATGCAAAAGGGTTGGGGAAGACAAGGACACAAGATTGTAGGGTCCATTTGGCTCCCCACAATCCCGAACGCCACTAACCTCCACAGAAGTGTGTGAGCACACACAATTCACACCTGGTTTTAAAGATCATGTTGGCGCCACCAAACACAATTTAAAGGTGAATGTGCACCATAATACCGCAGCAGTAAATTACATTAATGCAAAAACAGTTTTGACCTCATTTTCTCCTGGTCCAAAGAAAGGACTTATTTTTTGTATCCAAGAAAACTATCAATGGACACTGAAATTCTCCCTGAAGTATAAAGCTGAACAGACAAAGACTCCTAAAAATGTGAGACTGCCCCAGCAAAAGCTCTGAGTACTATCTAGTAGCTTACTAACATCAATGTGTGAATGTGTGTGTGAACGGGTCAAGCACTTTGAGGTCCTCTGATCTTGACAGAGCTACACAAGTACAAGCCATTTACCTAAAAAAATAAAATAACTTGCTGCTAAAAAAAAATATCTATAAAACCACGAGTCACCGCTGCGCTGTCTCCACCCCCCTCACTTCAGCGTCTCCATGCTCTAGGCCCGGTGTGGGGAAGCGTCAGGAGCCGGGCCATGAGGGAGATGTTCAAGAGCTACGTGGAGATGCTGGTGAGCACAGCACTCGACCCTGATATGATCCAGGCTCTGGAGGACACTGATGGTGAGTCTCACATGGACAACGCACTGCAAAAACACCTACACTGTAACAAATGGGTGTAAAAATTACAGCATGAAAATACAGTAAGGTAGCTGGGTTTTGAAAATACAGCTCTTTACTGTGATCTGAAATGCGTATGGAACGTATATGGGACGTGATTGAACCGCTGGATCATGTGCGGAAATTTACAGCCACACTGTAAATTTTTTACGTACAGTTGCATTATAGGATATTTCCCGGCTGGAGGTGAACGTTCATGGGCTCGAGGGCGGGGCCAACAATGACTTTCACCAGGTAAGTACTTTTTAAAAAACATTGTATTGCAGTTTTATGTTTGTGTACGAAAATATATTTTATGTGGTTATATTGAGCTACTCTCACTTGCTTGCTAAAGCTAACTTTGGTTATTTCTCAGCTAGCATTATGTGCAACACAAGTGCTTTTTAGTTAAGTTCACCTAGAATATGCAGATGGCTGTATTCTGGTCTTTTTGTGGAAATTATTTGAAGGTAGGATGCCTCAACTGTTTTATTTTTCTCTCAAAACTGACCCCTAACCCCTCTCACCGCCCCAGATACTCCAGTTGTCTTTGTCTCACTGTAACTTCCATCCTTTTGTCCATTGACTAATAGATGGAAGACATAATGATATATTGCCATTTCTCTGTATCTGCCAACGTTAGGTCGACAGATAGAGGCACAGAAGGCACAGGTATCTGCCTAAAGAAATGTGTCTGTTAGCTGAGTATTAAGTTAAAATTAAAACTAATATCACTGAACATTGTTATTTTTCAGGAAACAGCATCAAGGGCACCAGCGGGTCCAGCAGCGCCTTTTGCCACCTAGAGTATTGCTCCATAGGTGTGAACTGGGACCTAGTTCAGTGATGTCTTTACACAGCCTTTAGTTCACAGGCATATAATATAAAAAAATAATCTGTACTTAAAGAAACAAAAAGGTAGTTTTGAAAAGTCTCCCATCTGTTTTTAGGCGATTCATAGGCCTCAACCCAGAAAGCAGATCAAAAGCTGCAAACGGAAAAGTGACATCAAATACAACAGGTCGACTTATGCAAAACACTAGGACAACAATGAACCCGTGTGTCTCCATTCTCCTCCTTCATGGACTTCCAGTGGAACTTTTAAAATGATAAAAGTAGACATTTATACACAATGAGTTCTCTTACTCCATCTCTCTCCCTCTCTGTCTTTTTCTCTGCCTGTCTCTCTGAATCTGTCCTGTCCATTTCTAATAGACAAACAGGAGGACATCTACAATGAAGGAAGGTCAGAGAGAGTGTCTGTCCACTAAATCTGTCCTTTTCTACATTTACATTGATGTAAATGTAGTTTAATATGCTGTTTATCTCATGTATTAAAACATATTTTTCTTTCTTTATCTTCCAGCAACCCTTTGATGATTTCTGAAGATGTTCAGGACTGAGACCAACTCAGAACTCATCCATGTTGTTTTTGTTTGGCTGTTCACCAAGTGTTAAACTTGCCCAAATGTTTGTTGGGGTTCCAATACAGTTTTGAAAAATATGTAACTTCAATATTTGACATTGCTGGATCCTTTCCTTCCTTCAAAGGAAGATAAAGACAGACATTTAGAATTTTTATTGTAAGTTTTACATGAAAAGTTGATAAAATATTGTTTTTATGACTTTGACCTGCAGTTTTCTTGGAAACTTTGACATTTGGGCACTTTTGTTTTAGTAAAGATTATTTAATTCATTGTATTCAATGTAATATTACCATGATTGTAAATGTATCAGTTATGTTTTTAGATCAGAGTATTTTTTACTTTGGTTGCAATACTTTGACTTTTATGTAACAAGCAAATATTGCTGCTGCAAAATATTACATCTTGTTTTGCTTCAGTTTGCCAGATTTAAATTGACAATAAAATGAAGCAACTTTAAAATGTCCATGTCTATTTGTCTTAATTAGCAGAATAAAACATTTTTTGAGAGTTTGGTAAATTAAGTTGCAAGTTCACATTTAAACTTTTAAAATCTTGCAAAGTATGCAGTTTTATGAACTACTATAAAATGACAACTTTTTGTTATTCTACAGTATTACTGTAATTTTATTATGATAAAAATATGATGAAATCACAGTAACCATGTTATATAATTACTGTGCTATTTTAAAGAAATTACAGTAACACTAATCAAATTACAGTGATATAGTAGTAATAATATAGTAAAAACTGCAATAAAATCACTGTAAAACTGATAAAATTACAGCAACTCTGCAATAAAATTACAGTAAAACTGTAATAAAATTACAGTAAGGCTACTGTAAAAAAATAGAGTAAAGTTACTGCAAAATTACTGTAATTTCTTTACTGTAAGAATTACAGTAACTGGCTGGCTACCCCCTGCCAGTGAATTACTGTAAATTCTACAGTGACGTTTTTGTAGTGTAGCAGCTTCTGGTCTAGTTTCTAGTGCAGGTGGTCATAGTACACTTGAAATACTAACTTGCCAGTAACTTGTCAGCATAATAGTTTTAAGTCAATAATTAATTCATATTGATAAGAAAGTACTCGCAACAAGTGAAATAATCTGTCGGTGGAACAAGAAATTTTCATTTATATTTAATATGGAAAACATGTCTTGTTCCACTTGCAGATTATTTCACTTATAATGAGTACTTGATGAGTCATCAATATTAAGGAATTATTGACTTTCAACAAGTTCTTATTTCATGCTGAAAAGCTACTTGTAAATTAGTTTTGTTTTATTTTAACTGTACAATGACATTATGCTCTAGAAAGTAGTCCAAAAATACTTGGTAAGATATTTGCAGTGTACAACTATAGACTTGTAGAAACATGATTATTTACCATAATATTGAGGAAAACCCTGCAGAGTTCATGCCCAAAACTTGCTTATGTGCTAGAATATGGGCTATTATTCTGCAAATTAATAAAAGACATTTAACTCAATTTTAGGTAATGATGTATGTATATATTTAAGCCCGCAGGTATAACTTTGAACAAATTTTGTGTTCTCTGTTTATGATTAAAAAACAATCCTGGAAGTTGTATTGTTATTCATCCTGAAAAGAAAATCCATTATTGTAAAAAAACAGGAAGAAGGCAAAGTTAAAGTGAAGGA